AAATTTGAGAAAAATTATTGTGTCCTTTTTATTCTTTTAGTTTTTATTTTTAAAATTAATATATTTATATTTGAAAATTTTTTCCATAGTTAATTCCATTAACACTGGTGGACCCAGGAGTGGGCCTAGAGGGGCATGTCCCACCCCCGCCCCCCACCCCAACCCAATTTTGCCTTTTTTTTTTAAAAATTTTTTCTATGTTTTGTTTTAATTTTTAAAATCATTATAAGATGTGAAACGAAATCAAAATATTGCATTCTTAATACAATTTCGAAGTGTGCATAGTATAGTTTTTTATATCGTTAACGGCGTGCGAAATGACCAATCGTAGCAAATGTTACAACTTGTCAAAGTAGGAGGTTTAAAATTTGTATTTCGAGAATTTCGATAACATGATAATTTTAAAAATTCTCCGACAATCGTACAGTAGTCGAATCTACAAATTACTTATATCATCTCAAAACTCATTTCAATAACTACATTATAGGCATATCGAATAGTTTAAACAAATATCGAAAATAGTTAAAGATGCATTGTGATACAAATTTTTCAATGTAATTTGCATTGTTTTATTTAGTAAGTTTATATGGAATATGACAAATTCTTTTAGAAAGTTTACATCCGAAAAAGTCATATTCCATGTAAATTTTCGGATGCAAAATTACATGGGGTATGATTTTTATTGATGTAAATTTTCGATTGTAAAATTTCTCTAATCTTTCTTGCAAATTCGATTGTACCCCCCAACTTTAATTGGCTGTGTCTACCCCTAGTTACTGGTGGTGTTAAGTGTGTAACACCTATAATTGTTGGACATTCATGCCACTCATTCATGGCCATTAGATTACAATAAAACTCAATTTTCCTCAATTCTCTATGGATGGATTCCTTTATGCTCCTACACACAGTTTTGAGTTTACATTTTCCTCTGAGAAATTCTCCGTTTCCAAAGGCGTTCATATACTTAGTCAGTTTGTCGGAATAACATCTAAAGTGCTCAAACTCCACTGAATTTTCGGTGAGCGGACGAATTTGTGTTAAGGAAACTGTGTTTATTTGCTTCGGTTTGCTAGTTCACCCCTTCTCAAGTTCATATTAATTTCATATTCTTTTTGTATTTTCTGTTATGTTCTTTTCAATACATAAATAAATATTATATTCTGTAAATAAATAGTTTAACAGATTGAACTTCCATGAATGGAAATGATTCAATTGGTTGAGAATATGTAAGAAAATATTTAAGGTACGTTTTTGTGCACCATGGTCTGAACATAGATGTCAATCTAAATTATATTTTTCTAGATGACTAATAGAAGTTGGTGAATGGATACTCATGATGGTACGTATAGTCTATTTTTAATTGGAGATGCATTACTACATAGGCAATTCAAATAATAAATTAATAATGTGGAGTCCTAGCTACTTCTAAGAAAACCAAAAAAAATGATATTAACTAATAAGATATTCCAAAATTAGTAATACCTTTAATTTTCCATTGGTGGATTTGCTAATTGTTATGTTGTCTGCTCTATGGATAAGTTGGAATAGACTGTCTTTGTATTTTTATTCTCGATCTTTTATTAATTAGCACATCTTATCCTTCCATTTCGAACAAATTTCAACAATTTAAGCATTCCGTTCAAATTAGGTAAAATTGACGAGAGTTTTTGGTCCATTTATACATTTTTTTTTTGCACAAATTTCAAAGTATATACGCTTTTTGTCAAATCAGACAAAGTTGACGAAAAATATAATTTATTTATTAGCATATATTTGGCAAGGGTTTATAAATATGTATGTTTTTAAATAGCAAAGGATTTTGCAGAATTTATCAAAGGTATTATTCTCATCACAGTTTCTATCTAAACACATTGCAAATCCTTGGTGGGAATTGAAAATTGTTTTATTTTCGCTGTGCATGATTAAGTAAATTCCCAACAGTGGAGTATAGTAGTTGTGGATTCCATACAATGTGTGGATAAAAATGATTTGACCTTTGACAATGTTTATATACAATTTAAATTACAAATATATAGAAATGAGTTATGATAAGTGGATAATGCACGTGGTTTCCTATAATATGTGGATAAAAAGTGACACTGGTCATACATAGGTATATCTAGCATCAGTTTAGGTGATCATAAATTTTAACTTCATTGAATAAGTTTAAATGACTCTTTATGTTACCTTAATATGTTCTAATA